CTCTGCTCACTCAGTGTCCACTTGAGCAGCCTTTCCTGCCCTCCACAGCCCTGGCCACCACTGTCTGTTTCCACAGGTCCCCCAGCTCAACACCTGCCCCCCCGCCCTTCCTCCATACATCACTGTCCACAAAGTGTTGGTCAACCTCTCTAGACCAGTGTCCTTGAGGGCAGGGGTCAAGGACTCCCAGTGCCAAGCAAATAAATGTCACTCTGTATGTGTCAGCTTCCATCTCTCTATGAAAATATCTGTCTCTCCAAGAAGCAGGCAAGTCAGGGGCTGGTGTTCATATGGACCAGCAGATGGGGAGGAAAGGGGGGAGGGGAAGAGTATGGAACTTATCCAGTTCTGGTTTTTTTTTTTTTTTTTTTTGTGGCATTGGGGTTTGAACTCAGGACCTTGCTGAGCCACGCCTCCTCCAGCCCTACTTTTCCAATTTCTAAGAGCAAAGACCTGACAGCTGGAGTATACTGGCCAGGATCCCTATCCAGCCCCTCACTCCCTTCCCCAAAGGCTGGTCTGTGTGGTCTTGGCCTGACCTGAGCCTGGGGGTCTGTAGAGGCTGGGCGTCTCCCCTCTCACCCAGCATTCCAACCCTCACACCCTCTCCCCAGCCAGCACAGGCTCTGCCAGCTGGCAGCCTCCCTCCTCCTCGCCCCCACAGACTCCCCCAGTCACATCTGGGCCACTGGTCCAGCCTCTGAGGAAAGGGCTGGGGCTAGAAGTAGGGAGGGAAGGAGGCTACCCCAAGGCTGGCTCAGGATCCCACCCTGAGGGCCTAGAGAGGACCCTTGGCCTCAGACCCCTCCTCCTCCCTTGGCTGGAGAAGCATAGGATTCTGGGAATAAAAGAGAAAACAAAGCCACAAATTTAGGAATAGCCCTTTGCTGGTCAGCAAAGACTGTGGCCAGAGGGGAACTCAGCCCAGCCTTTCTGTAGGGCATTCTGGCAACAAGTGTCCAAAGCTCTAAAACAAGTCCATGCCCTTTGACCTCACAGTTCCATGCCTGGAAATGTATCTGAAGCAGAAACAAGTGGCAGGGCAAAGACAGAGGAGTTGTAACGCTCACCCAGCATTTGTTTAAGGCAGTGAAATACTGCGAGTGACCTGCAGGGTGATCAACAGAGGATTGATAAGTCAATCACGGTTCATTTACACTGTGGACCTCTAAGAGCCTCCCAAAATGATGCTGGAGCTCTAACAGGACAGGAAAAGATGGCCACAAAATGTGAACTCAACAGTCCACTGAGGCTGGTGTGGAGCTCAGTGGTAGAGCACTTGTCCAGCATGCACGAGGCCCTGGGTTCCATCCACCCAGGGTAAAAACTCTGGGGAGGCAGCAAACGTGCCCGACCTGCCCACCTCTGTATGGCCCCCACCCGGTATGCACCTGACTCTTAACAGGTACTGAGCACATATCTGTTAGATGAGTAAATATCACACAGTAGGTACTCAATATGCACTTGTAGAATGGGTGGCTTCTCCAGGTGCCCTGCACACAGTAGGCACCTTGAGTGAGTCAGATTGAATCAGCTTAGCCCTTCCTCTCATAAACCACGCACTGCACAGGGAGCTAGGGAGCTAGCAACCCTTTGTTGGCCACCACTGCTTGCCCCAGGACAGTGGTCACTCCCCACAAGGACTCTCCTGTCTCCTACCTGCCAAGACAAGAAGGCTTCATCCAGGCTTACTTTCTCTAATCTATATTAACTAATCAGTGGCATTTTTTTCTATCAAGTTATGTTTGGATGTTAAGTGGATCTTTTTGGATCACACCCTTCCCAAGACTCCTGCCCTTAGGGTGGATGCTTCTGGGGGACTGGGGCTGAGGCAGGCCCAGTCAAACTGTGTCAGGACATGGTGTGTCTGCACCAATGTCTTGATACGGATTTCCTCAGGCTGCTGATTCTTGGTCCTACCTCAGAGCCACATGACCAGGCCTGGGTAGAGGCCTAGCCAGATTCAGCCATTTTTGCCAACTTGCCAGGTGGTTCTGACCTCGGTAAAGGTGAAGAATCATCACCATCCCTGCGCAGCCCAGTGGGAGGGCCAGTGCCTGTGGGTGGCTCCACGGGCCACAGCAGCAGCTGGGGGTCTTCTGGGTTTGTTAATCATACCCTGCCTGGCCCCCAAGTGCAGACAGTGGCAGGTTGGTCCAGGCCTGGGCCTTGCTGGTCTGTCCGGTCTGGGGAATAATAGCATAGAAGGGAGTCCCAGTGTCACTGCACCCTCAGTACTCACAAGGAATGCTGTGACCCCCAGGTGCCTGGCCACAGCTTCCTCTAAGACAGCCCCAGGAACCCCAGCTCCAGGACTTTGGAGGCTCTCTGGATGAAGGAAATATGGCAGAGGTGATGAGATGTCGCTTCTGAGATCAGGTTATGAAAAGACCGTAGCTTCCATCTTGGATGCTCTGTCTGGGTGAGTCACTGTGTATGCAAGGGCCTGCCAACCACGGGAGGGAGTGGGAAGCGGACTCCTCCCCAGTTAGCACCCAGCCAGCAGCCGAGACTGAGACTGAGCCACAGGCACCCACCCAAGCCACTCCTGGATTCTTGACCCTCGGGGACCACAAGACAACCAGTGCTTGCTGGCTTAAACTGCTAAGTCGTGGAGTACCTTGTTAAGCAGCAAAAGTAATGAACATAGTACCTCTCCTTAAGCCCTCAGCACTGGCCAGTGACCAGTTCCTCAGTGGGCCGAGCTAATTCCTATCCCTAGGCAGGAATATTCATACAGACCCATGCTCTAGGAGTCCTGGGCCACCCAAACAAAATATCCCTCGCCCACTTCTGTCATTTTTCTATGCCTACTGAAGCCGAGCAGTTCCTACTAAAACAAGTGCAAAGCTCCATCGCCTTTGGTCTGTCTCCTCCAAGGACTGTGAGCTCCAGAGGGCACAGCCACAACTGAACTCTCCTTTGCATTACCTATCCTCAGGCACAAGTCTGAGACAGAGAGGGCTCAGTGAGAGTTTGATGAATGAATAAATAATCAACAGTGAGCAACTGGTTTTAGATTTGCAGGTCTGCACCACCTCCTCCCACCCTGGTCCCATTTCACCACTGTCATCTTCCAAGGTGGTATTTGTTCCAAGGATATAAAACTAAATTTGTGAGCTGGAGTGTGGCTCAGGTGGCCTAGCATGCATAAGGCTCTGGGTTCCAGCTCCAGCACCACAAAGATAAATAAATATAAAATAAAAATAAAAATAATAAAACCGAATTTGTAACCTTCTTCAAGATATCAGTCCTTCCCCCCAAAATCCCCATTTCTTTTCCAGAAACACCACCTCTCTGCAAGCCAGAATTCCCTGTGATCTCCACCTCTCCGCTCCTCCCTCTCTGGCCAGTCTTCACATCCCACCCACTTCCTTAGTAAAACAGCATGTGGCCCCACCAGCACTGCGACACCCCTGTGCGACTGCTGTCATCTCTAGAGATGGCGGTAACTGCGTCCCTACAGGTCACTGCCTCTTGTTGTGACATTCACCCTTCCAGGACCTGGAACATGATGCCCGGCTGTCTGAGAGGGCTGGAGGGAGAAGCCATGGCAGTGGGGAGAGGGGATGACACAGGGTGTTTTATCAGTGAGGAACGCCGCATCCGTTCCAGTCCTCACTTTTCCTGGCCCACCAAGATCCCTGAAATAGGGTCCAAATGCTTAATTTGGCATTTGGGGTGCCCAGGATCTGGCCCCAGCCTTGGATTCCAGTGGGGGAGGCAAGAGGAAGTGGCACAGAAGGCTTCAAATCCCCTCTACAACTCCAGTGCCCAGTGCTCACAGTGTGGAGCACCTGCTCAGGCTGGGCTTGTATGCGGCATCTCCTTTAGTTAACCACTATTAAGCGCTTCCTGTGTGCCAGAAACCATGAGAAGCACTTTACACATCTTAAAGTTCTTGACTCCTCACACCACCCTTTGAAAGAGAGTTTTGCTCTTGGCCAAGGTCACAAGCCTAATAACTGGCTGGGTTGCAAATGGAAGCCATGTCTTAACACCTTTGCAGCCTCCTTACCACCATGCAGTACCTCTGTGTTTGCAAACCACCTTCTTGCTCAAATAGCGCCTGTACTATTGTTTGCTTAACATTTCTTTTAAATTAACTAGCGGGCATGGTGGTTAAGAAGACAGGCTTTGGCACCGTGCTCTCTGGGTGAGAATCCCAGATGCCCTGCCTACTCTCTGAATGACCTCTCTGGGCCTCAATTTCTTCATAAAACAGTACTTTCCCTTGAGGGGAGAAATGCCGTCAGGGCTTACACATAGTAAAAGCGGTCCTGGTTAGGCCTGGCTCCCAGTGAGAGTGCCCTTTCCCCTCTCTGTGGATTGGAAGTGACCCTTGGCCTGATTCAGCCATTTGAATGAACAGAGGGAGGTGTGGAGCATTCTGGATGGAAGCCTCAGAGCCAGTGCTCAGACCACCACACTTTCTCCCTCCTTTTTTTGTTTTGTTTTGTTTTGTTTTTGGAGTTTCTCCCTCCTTTTGTCCTTCCAAACAATGACCTCCCCGTTTGCTTGGCTCCAAGAAGAAGTCTCAAGCTGACCAATGAACATGTAGCATTGAGTGAGAAGTAAATTTTTGTCATTTTGTTACCTCAGCTCATCCTGGCTTATACTGACTGACTGATAGCAGAAAAGCTCAATGGATGGTAACACCTAAATGCTATTTGTTACAACTTCTTCCCGTTCTGCAACAGAAAACCATATCACTTTTGTAAGTGAAAAAGAAAAAAAAAAAAAAAAAACGCCATTTGCCACCATAAGCAATTATGTAATAGTTAAATCAAAAAGCCTTTATCCTCATACCAAACCAAGACATCTGTTCTACCTCCTGTCGCACACACCGGACCATTGCTCAGGAAGTGCTGGTTAAGGCCAATGCTGTGATCTTGGAAACCCTCCATGGAGAGCCCCAGGTCAGCTCCAGGCCTCTGCCCTCACTAGCCTGAGCCCCAGCTGCACACATTTGCAGGACGCCTGCCCCTGGTGGCCCTTACCTCTGCAGACGGTGCCATTCTCCACGGCCTCAAAGCCTGCTTTGCACATGCAGCGCCCGATGGGCACCAGCCACTCGCCATCCCCGTTACAATAAAGTTTGATGGGCACGTCTACTTCTTCAGCATTGGCAATGCAACTGCCCCGGGCAGCCACCAGCGATGTGCTCTCAGCCCCCGACAGCGTCTCCTGGAAGATGGCACCATTCTGGATGACACGGGGACACTTGCGGTAGAAGACACGCACAGCAATGAGGGACATGCAGCCACCATAGTCCTGGAAGGCCAGGTAAAAGCCGTTTCGGGACACAGGTCCAAAACTCCGCACCTCAGTGTTGATCTTCATCACCCGGCCACCCAGGTCCACCTGGGAGAAGCTCTCATCGGCCGCGATGGTGTCCACCTTCACCCACGGATTCTCCATCCAGTTGGGGAAAGTCTTGGTGGCCGAGTCAAAGTCAGCCTCATAGTAGTAGAGGTTGAAGGTCTCCTTGCAGGAGCCGGGCACGCTGGGGATGCTGCTGCAGTCACGCACCGAGAATTTCATTTCCACATGGATGCGATGTGCACCTCGGCGCCGGATGAACTTGGTCCGTAGCCAGTTGTTCTGGCTTGACTCAAAGACATTGCACACCTGGTACGTGCGGATGGTGTTCATGTTTTCATCGTAGCCACTCACCTCTTCCCACTGCGGGTGAGACGCAAGTCAGGTGGAGGAGGTAGGCCTCAACAAACACCCTGTCTAAGTTGGGGGATAGAGACTCTGTCTTTGGGATCCTCCCATTCTGATGATACAGAGAATTCTGTCTGATGGGGGAAGACATGGCCTTGACCCTGAGGAAATCCCCGGTGTTTAAGTGGCACACCAATCTGATGGGAAAGGAAACTCCTTGTTCTTGGTATTCCCCTAGCTGTCATGGGAGATGTGGCCCTAACGGTCAGGGTTCATCAATCTTTTGATAAGAAGATACAGGACCTGCATCTCAGGCTGTCCCTACCTGGAAGTGGAATCGGGAGAGCCCTTCCCACAGAGAGCACCTTCTGATAAAGGAGGCAGCTTTGTGCCTGTGGGGCCACCAGTCTGATGAAGTTGGGGGAGGCAGAACTTCAGTATTCTGGGTGCTCCTGGTCTGACCAAGGAGACACAGTCCTTGTCCTTGGGGATTCCCAGTGTGATGGAGGAGGACAGTTCTTATGCCCACTGACCCAGGGTGATGGGGAAGTCAGGGTCTTTGCTCATGACTACAGCTCTGCTCTGGGGCTTTCTGCCTCTAAGATCTGCTCAGGGAGCCTCCCCTCCTGCCCTTCTGCCTGGGGAAGGTGTCTGGGCATCTCACTGGGTCCAAGCCTGGGTGATCAGAGCCCAGCCCAAAGCTGTGGGGGCCATGGGAAGTACAGAAGGGCACAAGGCCCATGTTGTCTCTACAGATTCACAGGCTGACCTCATCCTGCGGCCAAGCCTTTGCTCAACGCTGTGCCCTCAAGTCTTAATTTGTTTTGGTTTTTGCGGTGCTGAGAATGGATCCAGTGACTTGCGCATGCTAGGCAAACGCCCTGACACTGAGCCCCACCCCTAGGCCTCCAGCATCCTTGGTGGACCTTGACTCAAGGGTTGTCCCCTCTCCACCTGTGTTTGTGTTCATCCCTGTCCCTTGGGCCTCAGGGGACACTCTCTCTGAGTGAATGCCTGGCACACTCAGCCCTCTTTGCCACTCAGATTCCTTGAGCCAATTCTGTGCAGGACAGAGTGAAGGCTGCTGGCTTGAGGAGGGCTAGGAAGGTGAGAAAGGTGAGTGTACAGGGGGAGGGGAGGCCAAGCCAGGGCCTGCTGGCCCAGCCTCTACTTCAATGGCAACTCTGAAGCTCCCTACGTTGAATTTAATTTTTTTTTTTTTTTGGTGGCACCATGTGACAAAGTCAGCCCCTTGTTACAACCGCTGCTCTTCTTCAAAACTTAATTAGAGCACTTAATTAGAGCACTCTGCCTTTCTCCCCTCTCTCTAATTAACATGCGGAGGCCCTGCAGCCCAAACACCCCAAATAATTGCGTCCGGGGGCCCTGCAGCCCAGCCTGGCCTCATTACTGGCAGGGTGGGGCCATGGGCCCAGCAGCCTTCACAGATGGAAAATTGGTGACAAGAAAGAGCCATAGAAAGAGACCTGACCCTGGGGCCCTGCCTATTGAGAGTGAGGCCTGGGGGGGGCCGCAGCTCCCTGGGGCCGCAGCTGAGTGCCTTGTGGAGAAGCTCGGGTGGGGGAAGGGGTGGATGAGGTGTGGAGTCCAGGGTCCTTCCCAGCGATCAGAGGGAGGAGGAGTGAACATTAAAAACTGATGACGACGATGATGACGATGGTAATAATAATTACAGCTAGTCTTTGGGGAGCCAACCTGTGCCAGACTCTGACTGAGGCACTCTGCAGGAGAACCTCACAATAGCTGGTGAGGAAGACACCATTATCACCCGTAGCTGAGACATGAAGGAAATGGCCCCAAGTCATGTAGCTGGGGGGGGGAATTGGGGGGAAAGGGTGGCATTGGGACAGCCTGACCCCACAGCCTCTATGCAAGTGCTAGGGAGAAAAAGGATTCACAAATTGGACTCGAACTTGCCTGTGGGAAGTTCACAGCATAGACATGGGCTTAGAAATCCTACCCAAGGAAGTACCAGAACTCAGGGAAGCAGAGCGGGGCCTTGTGTTACAGGGACCTAGAGAGGGGGCCAGAGAGACTTAGGCACAATCCTGGATACAGACCTGAGCCGCAGCTGGGGTGCAGCTCAATGGCAGAGTACTTCCCTAGCATTGTATGAGGCTCTGGGTTCGATCACTAATACCAACACAAGGCCAAACAAAACAAAGCTGAGCCCCTTCACTTTCTAGTTGTAGAAAGCACCAATCTTACCTTCACTTTCCTCATCAGTAAGGGCAATATTGGAGACAATGTGTATCAAGGTGTTTAGTGTGCTATCTGACACAGAACGGACATTCAGGAGGTGAGAGTTCACTCTCCTCATCTGAAATGGGAGCCTTGCAAGTACCTGCTTCTCAGCCTTGTCCTGAGGATTCCATGGGCTAAGGGCTGGCTGAAAGCATCCAGCCTGTTGTCATGGGAACGGGTCTCCATCAATAGTAGGGGATTGGGAGGGTGGGGTAGTGAGTGGCCTGGCTCTGGGCCTTGAAGGGGGGAAAGGGATGGAATGTAAGGGTGGATTGAGGCCCTGCAGCAGAGCTGGGGGCACCTCAGGGAACTAAGCAGGGTTTGGGGACCACTGACTCACCCCTGATGGGGGATGCACCATCCAGCCCAGCTCAGCCGTCGCTGTAGTGGAGTCCATCAGTGTTTCTGTGGGGAGAGCAAAGAGTCATGGCCCTGTCCTGCCTCCCAGTGCTGTCAGTCACTCTACCCTGATCCCTTGAGGTCCTACTTCCATTGCCCCAAACCATCACAGGGCCGTAATCCTTCAGACTGCCCTCCCTTTTAGACCCTGCCTCCCCACTCTAGGACCTCTCCTATTCCCACAGTCTAGCCAATCATCTTGTTCCATTTCTCTAGGTTTCTCCCCTCTCTGCCCAACTCTAGCCTCTCATCCATGGTCAGCTCCTCCCCTAGACAATCACCTCCCACAACCCTAGGTACTGGCCTTTCCTTCCTTCCCAGGGTCTCCCAGATAGGTTCCAGAGAGTGCACCATCAACCCTTGAACTTTTACATCAGATTTTGGGTGTCTGTTCACTTTTCAGCTTGCATCAAATTCTCAAAAACTGAAACAGGAGCCTCTCTTCCACTCCCTGAGCCCTATCAGTTACCCTCTGACATACCACACCTCTATTCCTGAGGACCCTTCCCCAAAGCTCAGCCAACTCTGTCCCCAGGATCTGGCTCTGGGGTGGAAGAGAGATGTTGAAAGCAAGCACCAGGTGTGTGTGTATGTGGCAGGGGGAACACCTGTCACATGTCCCTGGGGTTCAGGAGACTCAGATTCACTTCAGAACCCACAGCTGGAGGGAAGGACACAGCTTAGGGTGAAGGAGACCTACTGAGCCCTTGAGAGTCTATACACCCCAGTCAGACTCAGGACCCTTTCTTTCTAACCCCTTCCCTGCCAAAATGGCTTCAAAACACTTCTTGAATTGAGTTACAATGCATTGAATGTCATTCAACAAACATATCCTGAGGTCCTTTGTGTACCAGGCACTGGGCTAAGCACCCCAAGGGGAAAACAAGACCCTACCATGGAGTAGTTCACTGTCTGTGAGCAGAGATGAGCTGTGAATATAAATGGCAATGAAAGAGTAGGTGGAGAGACCTAGAAGGTCCATACCACCTATCTCAATAGTGTGCTTTCTGCATTGCTCCAATTCTGAGCTCAGGGCAGGCATCACTAATCAATTCCCATCCTCAGTGGGCACTGAATGCTTCCCACCAGTGTTCCAGGAAGTGAGTGCTGACCACTGGAGGTGCTAGCCCTGGTCCAGCCCAATCACCTCATTTTGAAGAGAAGGCAACTGAAGCAACAGGGAGGGGAAGGGACTTCCTAAATATCACAGAGGAGTTGGTGGGGTGGCACTTGAAGCAATTAGTCTGATGGTCTGGGCTGGATACACTAGGCCAGGAGATTGAGGGCAGGGTGCCCAGTGTCCAGGCTGTGAGAAGGTCCCAATGGGAGGTAATGAGGGTGTGAACTATGGCAGGGTGGCAGGGATGAAGGGCGGGGAAGAGAGGAAGCGTGTGGGTGGAGGTGACCCCAGACAGACCCATGAGCTGACAAGAAGCGCTCTGTGACCGCCTGTGGTTTGTGTTTATGGTCACTGTCCCTTTCTGCTCAGAGCTGGTGTGGGGAGAGGAGGGTGCAGGGGAGGGGGGGTGTCAGGGACGATGGAACCAGTGCCAAGGGCATCTTTTTGATGGCAAATTGGGGGGAAGTTCTATTATGCAGCATTGGAGCTGAAAGAAGGTTCCTTTTCACACTCCGAATGCTACAGATTTTTCTTCCCGGAGAGAACAAGGGCTGAACTTTTAACCTGTTTTCTCTCATCGGCCTCAGCCAGAGACTCGCCAAGCCGGGCTCTCTGCCTGGGCCTGAGGAGCAGCTGCTGGGAGTTGTGTGGAACAAGGGAGAGGAGAGACTCTCCTGGGACAGAGAGGGGGCGGGAGAGGGAGGGAGCCCGCCAAGCAGGTGGCCCCACCCCTTGGCTACATTCCTGGCTGACCTGAGGACAAGTACTAGAAGGTTCTGTGGCCCAAAGAAGGAGGGGCTGGGAACTGAGACTGGAAACGTGGACCCAGGAAGAGCAAATGTGCACTTTAAAAGACAGGACTCAAACCTGGGCTCCCAAGAAGTCCGGGCTGCAAGGTGCCACAGTCTTCCCCACAAAGCCCACACATGGGCTGGGTGGGAAAGCAAAAGGGAGATGCTCAGAGGGACTGGAAGCAAATGGCAGCTGATTCACCCACAGATGGGGACCAGGAGGGAGTGAGAATTGTGCAGGTGTCCAGGGCAAGGGGAGGCTGGAGGGCAGCACCTTTCTTTTCCCTTCCCACCAGGCCAGCGCTGGGCTTTGCCTGAAAGCCTGGCTCTGTGACAGCTGTCACTCTTGTGCTGGAGCAGGAAGGAGCTCATGGCTGCCTTTCCCCAAACCCCACTTAACTTTTCAATTCTGATGCCTCTCTCCCCGCTCTGTATAGCAGCAGGTGAGCAGGGCAGAGTGACTTGTTTGACTATAACCTCGGGGCCGCGTGTGTGTGTGTGTGTGTGTGTGTGTGTGTGTGTGTGTGTGTGTGGCGCTGGGGTTTAACTGGGCTTTACTATTTGCTAGGCAGGTGTTCTGTCACTTGAGCCATGCCTCCATCCCTTTTTGGTATAGGTATTTTTCAAATAGGATCTCACTTTTATGACCAGGCCAGCCTGGATGGCAATCATCCTACTTATACCTCCTGCAAATCTGTGATGAAAGGTATGTGCCACCATGCCCAGCTTTTATTGGTTGAGATGGGGCTGGCCTCCTGATCTCTGTCTGTCTCCTGAGTAGCTAAGATTACAGGCGTGATCCAGTAGCACCTGGCTACCTTGGGCCTTTTGAAGCCTCAGTTTCCTCACTCAGAAAATGGCTGAAATGTCTTCTGAGTGTGGACAGTCAGACTAACTGAGAGGGGAGTGCATTGTCCTGGAGTCCCACACAGATCAGACCCTGGATAAATGGTAGCTATTATTTTTAGATGGATCTCAGTGCTTTTTGGCCCACCCAGGGCTCACATTCCACTTCCTTTGGGCTCATTAGGTGGCCAAGAGGCTCCAGCTCAGTCTGCCTGGCTCCCGCCCCCCAGACCCCCTTTGCCAACATCTGACAAACATCAGTCTCTTTGCTGGATGGCCACAGCCTCCAAAGAGGCTCCATCTGATGCCATGTTCCTGGGATGCCCGAGTTTCTGCTTTGTTCCTCTCAGGCCAAGCTCAAAAGTCAAACTGCCAGTTCCCTGGGAAGTCTGGAGTTGATCTGGCCTCAGGAACCTGGTGCATTCAGGAAGCCACACCCAATTCTACCGCTAGTACTTAACTTTTCTTCCCTGTAACACTGCAGACATGTCCCCTCTTATCCCAAAACCCTATGAAGGAAGAGAGCTCATGCCCACTGAGACCCAAAACTCCCTACCAACATCCGTAAAACAATACCAGAGGTACATGACACAGCCCCATTTCACAGATGGGAAAAGAGAGGTTTGCAGAAGCTCAGGGCTTGTGCAAGGTCACCCATCAATTCCATTCACAAGCTGTGCCCCAGGGGCACAGCCTGTGGGGTGCTCTCTCTCACCCCTGCACCTCACACATACTATTCCCTCTGACCTTCTCCTCTCCATCTGGGAACTTCCCATCTCAGATCACCTCTGCTAGGAAGTCCTCCTAAGTCCACCCTACTCCATAGCTCTGTAGCCACTGGTGTTTTGAGAGACTCCAGAACTCACAGGTGTTCTGAATGGCAGCTGCTCCTGTTTGCCAACCTCTCCCCATGGTCTGTACACCTCTAAAGGGCAGGGCTGGGCCCCTAAGACCCAGTGCAAGGCTTGGCACATTGCAGGCTCTTTTGTTCCCTCCCACCTGTTGGCCTTGAACATGTACTAGAGTTGCTCCATCAGCCTTGCCCAGCCTAAAGCCTTTCATGTAGACGACATGATCTTGGCCCTTCCCACCTAAACCTGTACTGTGATTCAGTTACTATTTTTAATTCTGATTGACTTGTTTTTTTTTTCTTCTTAAGTGCATTTTAAAGAGGAAAAAAGTCATCATTGTTAAAAATGGAAAACCAATATCACTTGCCATGAAAAGAGGGAAAATAAACACAAGACTATGACAATTAAAAACGTTTGTCTGTGGATTACTTCACATTGTTTCGCTTTCCAAACTTTGAGGGCCACTGGGCTCCATCGACTTCCCTCTGAAGTACTGGAAATGTCCCCATCCCCACTGTGACAATGACAATCCCTCATGCAGGGAAGCCATTGTCACTGTACACCGATAATTAATCACTCCACAGATGTGACAAAGACCACAATAAGAGTATGCACGGTGGATCGTGGGCAGTGGAATTGGGTGCAGGAGGAGAGGAGAGGAAAAACACGCCAAGTGTGGGGATGGCTTCCTGGAGGAAGTGGCACTAGAGAGGAGCCAGCTGACACTGGGGAAGGCATGCAGGCCAGGGGACAACAGAGACAAAGGCAGGGAGGCGATCTAAAGTATGGCTTATGGGAAGGGAGGGTGGGAGGGTGATAGTTGAGAGGTGATAGTTGAGAGGTGAGTCTGAGGGTGGAGCGGGGCAACAGCTCTTCCAAGTCCCTCCACTGGACTATGTCCACCTGCCCACGTCCTTGGCAGCCTTGGGGCTACCAATCCCACCCGGCCCAACACAGCTATTTCACTTACCCACGAGCCCTCCCTCCCTGTGGACCCATCAGTCCCCAGGCTTTGACTGTGCTAAGTGACCACTTTTAAAGCCCAGTGGACAGACAAGGAGAAGCAAGGTCACACAGATATTTAGTAGCTAGGTAAAAGCTGGAACTGGGGTCCCCAGCTCAGAGCCCATTTCTCAGGGGAAAACAGGGTTCAGGCCCTGGGAGGGAGCGGCTCTGGCTAGCCCACTGTGCTGCACCCCTCCTTCCTGGAGACTGCACAGAAGAAAGCAATCAAGAGGCCCTGACTGCACAGGCTGGGGAGGCCTTCAGCCCCTCTGGCTACGTGTGAATGAGCAGTGTGCATTTCAGAAATATTTGAGCTAAAAGGGGAGACACACTGAAGTCGTTAGCGTTAGGCAGACAGGAGGTGGCTTGGGGGAGGGGAATGGGGAAGGGACT